CGCGTGCATATAATGGCTGTCGTATGTAGATTCTACCTGAGGGAACTATTTCTCATTTTATCTTTAAATCGCTCAGATCCTCCTGATCATCGTATATGGGCTCTCGAAAAGTTTCTTGAGTACCATTAGAAAGCCCTAGTTCATAGGCATGTTTGCTACCAAAGATAAAAGACCAGTGTTACAGATATGTACATACCTTCACATGCGCGACCATCTGTTTTTCTCTATCGCTCGCATACTTTCTCTTTTTACATGTTTGATGATGTTTTTCGAATAAAGGCATTCTTCGTTTACAGAGACTCGAGAGACACTCATCTCTACTATTGGTGCCATTCCCGCTCTCATCTTAAACTCGTTATTTGTTCGTTGATCATTCAATTCATCACTCGTCGTTCAATACGCTACTCATATCTACCAATCGTTTCTTCATCTTTGTCTTCATAATTTTTTCGTACACATATCCTATTGTTCTTCATTATCAATATAGAAAGGCGGGATCTGATTGGGATGAAATTTTCGGTGGTGTATTCTTAGGTAAAAATCTCACTAGAATTCGAAGATGAGACTGATTAGACGAGTGACTGATAGATTATTAAAAAAATGATATTTCTCTATAACTCGTTATTTCTTCCATCTGAGAAACTTTTTGAGGTACACATAACTTTCCGATAAAATCCGACGCTTTCGCATTTATTTCATGAGTTACCTTTGCACAATATTTTTAAATTTAAATTGGAAAAATTCCAGAATAGAACACATTTTATATTTTTAGTATCTTTCAAATGAAGGTATAAACATAACTGCAGAATAAAATAGGTATCTATCCTCGCCCCTCTGATATGCATATATTCATATTTATCTTGATTCGAAAAATTGTTTTTATTATTTGAGGAAACTAAACGATTTGCACAATACGTAAAGCTTAAAAGCAATGGATACATTTTCATCAGTCGAAAGCGAAATTTCAGTCCTCATTTCATTCACACTTCGAAACCTACTTTAGTTTGATAAGACACAAAGACACGACTCACAATATTTAAAGCGTTCATTTATGCAAAATCTTGCAAACTTTAATCCGTTAATGATGATACTGGGACAACCTTATTTTTGTCGCATTTGATGATTGAAAGTATAATTACAGTAATAAATTTTGAGAACATCCTCAAAAGTATGGTTAAACTGCCAAATAAACCAAGAATTGTTGTTATGATATAAAGCATATCAGAATTTTGTATATACGAATAAGTGCAATAAGTTGAATGACATTTCTCATAATAACTTTCATACGAATAATTCAGAGTCCATTCATTGACAAATAATCGATCAACCATTTCTTGTACAGTTTCACTTATTCCAAAAGAATGATTTGTTAATAAAGTTGAATTGAGTATTCGAAAATCATCGTCAGAAGATGTTTGTTTTCGAAAAGAATTTCGAATTAAATCCAAACACTCTTGATCATATAAACATTCCAATGTCGATTGTAATAATGTTTCGTGTATATAACAACCAATCAACATTCCATTTAACGTCGAGTTGGAATTCGTATTAAGTTGAACTTTTTCTGTACATTTTGACGACGTTCCACAACTACATGATCCGCCATACCGCTGAGGGTTTGCATAAATAGGTGCTTTATCATATGTATTTAATATAAGATATTTCCAGTTTGTTTCATACGGTGTTATGAATGCATTACCATGAATGAAACTACTGAGCATCACTAAAGTTCGTTTGAATGTTTGAGGGGCCGATGTTCGGAATGTGTTCACGATTGTTTCAACTTGAATTTGAAAAAGATTGGAAGATATCAATTGATCACTTGTAAGTTTTGTGGCATAAAATAGAACAAGACTATTATTCACCGTTTCTTGTACTTGCTTACATAACGATGAAAGAATTTGAAATTGAGCTGAAGCTACCGCATAGAAACTCTTTTCATAAGTTCTATTCTCAGTATACAAAAATTCGATCCATTGTTGAGTAACAAAATCAGACGAACAGATTTGATGATAAGATGGACTCATCTTAATAAACTGATCGTAAGTGATGGATATATCAGAACACGGACAGTTAAGTGTTGTCGAATATTTGCTTAACAAAACATTATATTCATTTAAATTGTTCAATTCCACTTTGACATTGATCGATTTTTCATTGGTCAATACATATGATAGAAGAATTGCAAATGTAATCATTGAGATAGCCAGATAAAATCTTGTTGTGTACAGTTGTTTCTTGATCGTCGAAGTATTTGTCGTTTTAGTTCGAAATAAATTCAAATTGATTAGTTTTGTTTTGATTGTCGAAAGAGCTTGTTGAATTCGAATGGAAAATGGTACTTCTAAAGAAAAGTTCATTTTTACTTACACGAGAAAAAGAACAAAAATTTCTCATAAAAAGATGTACTACTGAACTTTAATTATCCATCCTCGTCCTCACTTTCATTGCGATTTACATCTTTTTCATACGAATGAATGGGTCGATGTGATTAAAACCTAACCTTCTACCAAGTTCAAATAGGGAGCCACTTTGTACATTACTTTTTGTTTCTTGTGATTTTCGTCTGATCGTATTTATGAGCAATGGTAGGAAAATTTTGAGTATCAATGATAATCCTCCATATATACTAATTAACTTTGTTATTATGTCAATAAAGCTCAATTTTTCTTCTCTTGTATATGAACAAAAGGAGGGTTGACATTGAGCATAATATTGATTGTAAAAATACAATGGATTCCATTCTTCGATAAATAAATTATTAACGATGTCTTCCATTGTAGTATTGGATTGATACTGACTCGAGATCGATGAATTCAATGATTTCAACTTTTTGTATATTTCAGATTCTGGTTTCATAAAAGATTTTAACATATTGATACAATCTTGACTAAAAAAACACTCAGATGTCGATAATAAAACTGTGTCAAGAAAAAGACAAGCTTGATATATTCCCGGTATATTATATACTTTACTGTTGCCATATAAAGGCAATTGGTGTTTACATAATGGATTTGTGGCACAAGAACATCCCTGGAATGAACGTATCATAGAATGGCACCCTGCACTATTATGATTTCTGTCGACTGTAGCAAGTGTAAAAATTGTATTCGTTCTTAGTTGATTGATGAATTGATTTGCAGACGTAATTCGTCGAATCAAATTGATACGAAGTAAAAATGACTGTTGTGTTGTGGTTGCAAATAGTTCAGCAAGCGACATGATATCACTTTTAAAGATGTCAGGTGAGACGACTTCGGATGTCAAATATTCATTTTGCTCAAAGACAGTTAAACTGTGAGTTACTAATTCATTTGCTACGTCACATACGATTGATATATATTCGAAAAAAATACTTGACATTTGTCGAAAATCATCCACACGATAATTTGACGTATCCTTCCAGTACGTACTGCCACTCCATAACTGAGAAGTAAATACACTTGAACAGATCTGATGATATCTCGGCTGAAAACTAAGAAAATTAACATATTTAATGGAAATATCATTACATGGACAATGGAGATCATTAACTGAACTATTTTGAAGTTGTTCATATTGAGTTTGTGTTGGATTGTCAATAGTGATAAGTCTTGTTTGCTTTTCCAATGATAAATAAATACCAAAAGTCAACAATACGATTGGCAGTACCATGCAATAAACTTGTGATGATAAGATTTCATTTCGTTTCAAATGTTCATCGTTTGTTGCACTATCGAATAAATTTACTTTTTTGATCAAATCCCAACCTTTTCGTATTAATTGACTACAACTTGTCTTCGCAGAACCTATTCAATAAATAAAAAAAAACTAAAATAGGAACGACACGATCCCTATAATAATGATGTCAATTATTAACTATTTTCAACGAATCGACTTGTGCACAGAGTCAATGATTTTGCCACAAAATTATATCCTTTATCGTATGACTGAAGTTCGTACGCAATTCTCATGGAATCACGTCCCTACGTTTTAATCGAACTTACCGTTCGTTGACGTTTTCTCATTGTTTGTTCGGCGATGTTGACATTTCTTCAAAGCGAAATTAGCAATAAATAGGATCACAGACGACAAAATGACTCTCAATCCACCATATAAACTAATAATTGAAGTCAAAGTCACGCCCAAACTCTGTCCTACTTCATTCGTATATTGACAATGTACTGGTTGACATTGACTAAAATAGGCATCAAACGATTGATTAGTGATCCATTGTTCAACAAATAAGTTATTTATTAATGTTTCATATGTTGTATTTGGTGTCGATACTGATTGATTTAATTTCGAAAACGAACTAATATTTGTTGGTGTATAATCGATATGATTACCTATGAGATTCAAACATGAGTCATCGAATAAGCATTCACCCGTTGAATAAAGTAATGATTCGCTAGGAACGCAACCGATAAGCATTCCAGGCAAGGCAAATGTTCTGTTAAAAGTCCGAATAGTTTCACCTCCCACTGTGGGATTAAACCAATTTGAAGTAAAAATGTAAGTTTCACTAGTAATATAGAAACCTTCTGATAATTTACAGATCGATGATTCTGTACAACTGCAACTGAGTTCTGTGGTGCTTATATCTGATTTATATGTTACTACGCTTATAGCTGGAAAGCAAATGGAATTTTGGACATAGCAGGTAAGTTCAAGTGATGCTCCCATTCCTGACAGAAAAAGTTGTCGCAGAAATATTGACCTAATCGTGTTCAATACATCCAGAAATGACGTTGACGTAGTTCTCCGAAATAAGTTAACCAATGAATTCACTTGAATGTCGAATGTTTCCATCGTAATCAACTCTTTTGTAAGGAACTGATTCGAATAAAATTGAATTAGACTATAATCGATCGTGTCTTGTGCCTGTTCACAGAATGTACGAAGAAGCTGAAATTGACCCGAAGCACTTCGACGAAAATCACGTTGATAATAGTACGAAATATTCTCATATAACAAATAATCCATCCAACGTTGACTAACAAAATCCGACGAGCAAATTTGATGATAGACTGATGAAATGTGAAGAAATTCTTTATAGGAAATAGAAATTTGTTCACATGGACATTGTAACGTATCAGGATATTGTCTAATCAATTCCTCGTATTGCTCTATGGTTGGTTTGGAGATAATAACGGTTATCAAATGAGTAACTGATGCTTCGTAAAACGCATATGCATATAAAATAAGAATGAGCAGTATTAAATAGAGCCTAGTTGCCAGAATTTCCGTTTTTACAGTATGTTGATCATCGGTTTCTGTGCTGTAAACATTCTGGTCCAGAATATATTGACGAAGTCGCTGATACTTAATCATTTTATTTTCTGCAAATATTGTGTGATATCTAAAACAGGTGAGGCTATGGATGGAATAAGTTTACAACAAACGTAGCTACTATGAAAAAATGCAGAAACTTCGGGTTTTATCCAAGACTTATAGAAAAATATCAATTCTTTTCTTAATAGTCTACCAGTTATTCGTCTAATTAGTGTCATCTTTGAGTTCTAGTGAGATTTTGACCTTAGAATACACCACTGAAAATTTCATCGCAGTCACATCCACCTTTCTACCCCCATCGTATAAATTAATCCATAAAGGACGATGCCCAATTCTAGTAATGCGCTTACTTTTCGGCCTGGTACAACTGAAAGATGCTTCAAGTCTCTTCTCAGTATCATGTCGTTTGTGCTTTAACTATGTTCGATTAAAGCCCAGGCTTAATTTTAAAAGCGGTTCTTGAATGGATTTCTGTCCTTCACAATATTTAGCATATCTAAAATGACCTCGTTACACCCAACGACTACCACAATGCTTTGGCTGATACTCATCCTCATAGTCTCCCTACCTTTTGACGTCTCATTAAGTCGAAATCTGTCTTGCAAGTTTGACGACTGTAGCTACAACAGGCTTATGTCTAACTCTAATAAGCAGACATTCTCAGTGAAATACTAGGGTCCTGCATGGAGAATTTTCAGGATTCAGTTCTTTTAGAAACGAAAATTGTGCATCGGATCATTCTATTTTTGAATCTCAATCAGATTCGATCACAGGAATAGCATCAACTGGATAAGAAAATCCCAATTTTTCAGGTTTCAACGGATGTTTCTGCTCCCGTCGGTATTTTTTCTGCGACAGAATTTGAATGATATCTGAAAATATAATTGTCCGTTGCGAACCATTTGGGTGAAATCAGTAGTGTAATCAGGATTTTCAGACCAACGGGCAAACGTTTCGTCGATAGGTGAAAATTTTTCCACTGGCTAAAGTTTTAGAACACGACCGAAAACACCGCTGAAAAATAAGAGTCTTTTACTTCCTTAGCATACAAACCAAAAGAAAGCCCAATCTGCTGTGTTGTTTCCTTCGTTGTAATGTAATATAAGAAAATACAAAACAAGAGTGCACAGGAGATAGGAGGAAAGTCTGTTGGAGACGCGAATCTTCACCTTAATCTCGCAAATTTGGTTTACTTTTGCTCACAAGCTAATAAGTATCTTCAGAAAGTTTTGTGATATCTTAAAATCTATCGAAAAGTTTGCAAGAAATCACCAAATTTCTTATAGTATGCCAAAGAAATTAAAGTCTTTTTCAACTCACGAAAAATGTTGATGGACCGGAAACATTCTTCAAAAATTTTTTGAAAAAACTCATAAAAAATGCTTCAAATAATTTGAAGTACTATACAGAATTTACTAAAACAAATTCTTGTCTTAACTAACCAAAAACATACATAAAATTCTTACAAAATTAAATTTCAATGGACAAATCTCGAATTCAAATGGGCAATTGCCCCCCCCCCCCCCTTCCCCGGATACGCCACTGGGTGAAATTTCACCCAGATCCTACTTATGGTTGCCCTCATCTTCGAACTCGACTGAGATATTCACGGGATGATGCTATGTCAGTTTGATTCTTCTATCGAAAATTACCAGATAAACGGACGAGCAGACACACTGACCGATTCCAGTGGTGAACTTCCTTTTCGAGTACACAAAAATATGTGGAAAGTAGCACCATTTTTTCGACATTTTTCAGGAGATTCTAAAGTTCCAATGAAATATATTCAATTTTAGGAAGCAGAGCAACGGGGTATGAATCTTTCTGCGATTTTTCAAACTTCGTTGTGGTTGATCAAATGCTATGTTTTTGGTCCAGAATATAAATCGTCAACAAAATATTTCAGTAATACGATTGCCCTAATATCAATCACTGCTAAAAAGAAAACTATAAGTTATTGGCAAGCTACCGCGCTGTTGCGAACTCTAAGCAGACATTTCATATCTATTTGCTGATAACAGTACAATCACTCTTTACTAACGATTGTTGACAACCATAGATTGAACCAGATCCGAAAAAACAATCGATTCGTACATCTGTCACTTACAAGATATTATAAATGAGCATCAATGATCTACGACGAAAATAGTGACAAAGAACAGATAAGTCATGCCTAGTATTTATATTATTTAAACGAAAGTCCTTATAAAAATCAATTTGATAATTTCAACCGTTCAAGTTTCATTTGATTTTTGTGGTCAAGTGTCTATTCGATTGAAAACATCATTACCGGATCTACCTACCATCAGTAGATAAAATATAAACGGCTTCATCGGCTCTGGCGGTTCGCTCGAAAAACCTTTTCCAGAAAAATCTCTATTAGCCCAATTGAAAACTTTCTGGAGGTCGTTTTATGTTGAACTAGAGGGAGTACCTCGCTGCAAATAAGAAATATCTATGTCGAACATCTCACGTGTTGAAGAGCTATAGCAGATAGAAAATCAGTATAATTCAAATTTCTACGCTTCCAGTCCTTATTTTCCCGCCGTGCATCGCATAAAATGGTAGTTTCGGCCATATCTTTTTATGCAAAAGAGTTAGCGAACCTAATTTCTGCCTTAGAAATTATGAAAATTTCCTCTTTCTGTAATATTCATTTTCCATTCCAACTATTCATTCATCGACCTCTTTCTCACTTTCACGTCATTTCATACCTTATGTCCTTCGAATTCACCCACTCTCAAGATTTATCTTAATCTTTTGAGATCCTGTACCGCTATTGATGAGTTTCGCAGATTATTTTTAGCATTCACCGAACTATCATAGGCGTAGAGAACATGTGGATTGTTGTCTTTGAGCGGTCAGACGGCCTTCGCTATTAATTTTCTCAATTTTGGAAATCTCGCAATCCTATTGGTCGGCTTCATAGATTGCCTGAGCAGACACTTGGGTCATTTGTTCTCGGAACAAAGTAGATGTCGACCTTTCTCTGAGCTCATGGAAGCATCGTGGAAAGTTTCACGCCGATAGCTATTACAGGTACTGAATGTATAGCGAACAAACGAACAAACTTTCTTCTTTATATATATAGATATAGAAGATAGATAGATAGATGAGTAATTCAGTCAAGAATCGAACATCCCATCCTCGACAAGCATTATTCATATAATAATTGCAATTTATCACGAGCCTGTCACTGAGGCCAGACTCATTCAAAGAACACCTGCCTCCATTTTTCATTGATTTTCAGTGTCTATCTGCAGAAACTATACGGATTGGAAGTCGAAATTATTATTCTGTGAAGTTAACATCAAACTTAAAAGAAGAAGAGAAGATTTTACCTTCTGAAATTATCTGAAAGGCAAACGATTAGATGTTGTCGTTTTTTAGTACTTTCTACGATATTGCAACAAATGTTCTGTAGGTGTGATTATTGTAAACAAAAATGACCTAACTCTTTCGAATTTAGGTAAACATTATGTAAACTCAGCGCTACAGGGAGAAAATAAAAGTCTTACCTGAGAACAAAAACTTTAGTATACTCTGAGATGTGAGATGTACTTTTAAATGCAAGAAGACAAATACCTTCAACATCAAATGAACTTTATTGAATTCTGATGAGAAGAAATCATAACAGAAAGCACTTGTTTCTCTGAGGACAAAATTTCTTGTTCTTACATACTTATTTATTCTCTCTCTTCCAGTGTGAAAAAATATTGCTTGGCTGTTGTTCTGCACAGTCGAGTCTGGTGCCATTATCGTAATAGTTTCATTTTCTATTTTCTTTTCTACGTATGCTAGAAAAACGTTTCATATACACATTGTATCGAGCCAAGTAACTAGGGCAAAATATTTTACTAAGTATTTTTCAATCAATGTTATTTCTTTAAAACATTCTACTAGAGTCATTAGTTTATTGTATTGTTAAGTGGAACACATATTTATTTGTTTAGTTTTTGTAAGTTTTCTACACCCTAAAATAATTTTTGGGAGTCAAAACCAACACGAATATATAAGTCTTTTTTCTCAGTCTTATATACGCTCAAGGTTTTATGATATATTCTAAAGCTCGATACTATTGTAGATCTGGGTCTTATTTATAACTGTGTTCAATACAAAAACTATCAATCAACATGGTAAAAATCACCAGAATAATTATTGAATTAGCAGTCACGGCGATCATCGTGGGGGTGATGGTGCTTTCATTTGTTTATTTCACGGGCAGACTAAAACAAAAGACTTTTCCTACAGGTATGTTTCTTTCAGCTATTTAGTTGAACAGAAGTGTACAGAATAAAACAGCATGAGAAATCTTCATGTGATATTCTTATATTTCACAGAATATTCGACAAACAAAATAATTGGTACGACGACCATTGGTTCGACAACTACAGGTATAGTACAAAACTTCCTCAGTTTATATGATGGGGAATCCATCTTGAGAGTGAGGGTGTGGAATCACGGTTTTTTCATATGGATTGCCATTGTCACATTCTAAACTGCACCCTCACCCTTTTTTGTTTAGTTTTTTTCGGATACTCATATCCTTCACACTTTAATAGTGCAACGGTTTTTTCTTCGATATTTTATCCATCGACATTTTTACTTTTGGCCTTAGTTGGGAGAATCTTTTCTCTTTCTCGCATAGTTACTTCAACAATAGTTCAGTCGACTTACTCATCTGCATTGGACATTGCCAGCGCAATTTATATTCGTCCTGATGATTTATGGTTTGGAGGATTTTACTATTATCAAGCCATTGAAATCAATGTGATAACTACAGGAATGTATTCTATCTCATCTACAAGTGATACACTAGACACACAAGGTTTCCTCTACAATGGTAGTTTTAACACTTCATTTCCTGGTCATAACTTGATACTATTCGATGATGATTCTGGTGGTAACAAACAGTTTATCCTAATAGCTCATCTTCAAAAAGCAACAAAATATATACTATTTATTACCACTTATCTGGAAAATAAGATAGGAGCTTTTACAATTACTGCATCCGGTCCGGCAATAGTTACGTTTTCAGCAAGTAAGTTACAGGCATAAAATCTAAATTGAGATTATGAAAGAGTTTCACTCGATCACTGTAAGTATCACATATCAAGGGTTCGGGGAAACATATCTTTCGCATCGTCCTCCAGTAAAATCAATACTTGTTTATTTCTTAGTCAACCTATCAAGTGCGGAATCGGGAGTAGTATCCAATTATTCGTCATCTTTGACAACCTCGAGCCAATCATATAATCGACTAGAGCAGTCATCAGAATCAGTTAATTATTATCAAGCTATTGAAATTAGTGTGTCAGTAACAGGGGTTTATACCATTGGCATTGATAGTTCTATGGATACATACGGCTATCTATACAATAACACTTTCGATTCCGTAGATCCAAATAGAAATCTTCTACTATTCGATGATGACTCTGGAGGCAATGGTCAATTCATGCTGAAATATGCTCTTCAAGCTACGCAAAAATATATTCTGATCGCAACAACATATGACGAAAAAATAACAGGAGAATTTTCAGTTACTAGCCTCGGTCCGAGCACAATACTTTTTTCGTCAGGTAAGGAAATGTATGAAGGTATCAAAATACAAAAGGAAACTGAGATCAGTGGCACTCCTTTTTATTATAAATAGACTACTTAGTCCTTCAATATAAGAAACTTTGATGATTACGTATACTTAGTATTCAGGAGCATATAAATTTCTATTCAAAAAATATTTCTAAGTCAGTTTGAATGTCATAAAATTTTGAAATGTGACTTATATTTGGAAGTCTGTTTTTTTTCTATTACCTTGTGATCACTAAATATTCCCTTTTTGTCTTTATAGTCAACTCAACGGTGATTCGATCAGAATATTCATCATATTTAGCAATGTACAGTGAGCACTTTACTCGGCCATTTACAGAGGGACAATATAAATATTTTTATACAATTATTGAAACGCATGTGTCAATGACGCGAACTTATCGTATTCGGTCGTCTGGTCTCGTGGACACATTTGCTTATTTATATCTTGGTACTTTCGATCCAGCATTACCGACACAAAATCTTGTGTTCTTCGACAATGATAGCGGAGGCAATCGCCAATTTATGCTCACTTGTTTGCTACAAACTATAACAAAATACCTCCTAGTAGTAACAACCGCAAATCAACAGAACACCGGATCATTCTCAATTATTGGACTAGGCGAAGGACCCATCAATTTTGCTCCACTCAATATTTCGAGTGAGTACTCACGCCTATTTCATTGAAAGAAGTATTAAACCACTTTTAGGCTCCTCTTAGTTTTGTGATATAATATTGCCTCGACTGAAGGACGGTCATAAAAAAAGTTTGCATGTTTGTCTGTTAGTGTCAGGATCAAAGGTTAATGGTAAAAAAAAACATTTTTTTTGAAAACGTTCGAGACTTCATAAAGAATCGTTTGGGGGCGGAGCGGGATATTGAGGGCCGAGACAGGCTGAATGATTCATGTGGTAGAGCGAGGTCAGAAGTGCATTATTTTCAGTTTGATCAAAACTCAGAGATACTTCTTCTGACAGATATATTAGGGATAGATGTTGAGGAGAGATCATAAGAATGTAGAAAAAGATTTTGTCCTTAACTGAAAGGGGTCATGCAGAAAAGAATTTCCTACTGAAAATTGAAAATGCGCTCGGTTGATTGTCACAGGTCGCACGTTGCAAGTTAAAGTATACCAATCCACATTGTACAGCAGTTTGCAAGTTTCATATTAGGTAAATATTCTGAGACTCTCAAGTCATATTATATGAAGATTAGACATATGTGGGACTAATCTGGATCCCGGTAACCGGGACAATCAGCGGAACAAGTAACTCGGTGAGAGTTGGAGCGATGCCCAATTTAGTTGGTTTCGCAAATATCTGACAGAGATGTCATCCGATACGCATGCGTTGCTATTCGTTTGTGAGATGTTGCCCCAATTCTAATCCGTTCCCACTATCTTCGATGTAGCAATGTTGTCGGTTGTATGCTAGATAGGAAAGGCTTTGAAGCAGCGAATTCTGTTACAGAAATTACAACATTCTGATACGACGGATTCTCGATTTATATAGAATCTCATCTTATGTCACTGCATCCCTCTTTCTTTCAGAAAAACGGAGGCATGTTTAATAATATAAGGTCACAGTAGCCATTCATAGCAACCGCTACACGTGAACAGTGATTTCGAAAAAGGAACACTCGATGAATAGGAACAACCCTTAGGTTAGCTTTTAGAACTGAGAGATGAATAAGGACTAACCTCGAGAGGCCATTTCCAGGGGCGTATTCCTCTGTTTTTTTGTGTAAAATGAAGATTAATATTGTTGCATTTTGAGTTAGAAATTTAGTCAAGGATGATGTGAGGCAGCCTTGACGAGTGTTCCTTGTGATAATTTCCTTGTATTTTTATCAATTTAGATAGTTCAGCAAATGTCGAATCAATGTATTCTTCATCTTTAACAAATGATAGTCATTTATTTTGTCGTGAAAACACTTGCTCGGAAGCAACGTATTATTATCAAGCTGTTGAACTAAATATATCAATAACTGGAACATACATTCTCTTCAGTTCTAGTGGAATGGATACAGTTGGATATCTATACCAAGATGTTTTCAATGCTTCTTCTGTCCAATCAAATCTAATCAACTTTAATGATGATGGCAGCATTTACATTAATCAATTTATGCTCCAAGTGGTTCTTGAAGCTATGACAAAATATATTTTGGTTGTTACAACATATAATGAGTACGACACAGGATCGTTTTCAATCGTCGTTTTGGGTGATGGTACTGTCGGCTTTGCCGAGGTTGAGGAGACATAGCATTATGATTAGAATCTATTAACTTTTCTTCTCGTTCTGGTGAATCTTATCTTCTTTCTGTGTATTCTATGGCAACGCTTTTCATGCACTGCTTTTCATAACTAATTCATTTGATCTTGTAGAGCTTATTGTATGACTATCTGCTTCGCGGGTGAGGGGTGTAAATCAATATGAAACAAATTAATCTATATAACTAAGATATAAACTAATTTGCTAATCGCAACTCTTGTTTGTTTAGCAATCGATCTAATCAATCAAAAATAACTAAATAAATAATAATTTGTTTTTATTCTTGTAAAAGTAAATAAATATATGTAAATATTTGATTCGCCGAAGCATTTCGTGTATTTATTTAAAAATAAGAAACACTCATCAGCGTTCTGCATATATATATATATATATATATATATATAGAAAAAAGAGGTTTTCAATAGAAAGAAAAACTGAAAGAAATGGAGAAATGAATAGTCTAAATGGAACGTAGAACTAGATAAAAAAAACGAGATATAGTCTTTTAACGTCTAAATGACGATGTTTTTTGGTAGTTTAGTAAATTAACTAATTGAATGATAGAATAATAATAATACTCCAATATATAATCATATTTATCGATGATGGGTATGGACTAGTTGTCTTTGTAAATTGTGAACATTACGAGTACCAAGAATAGGAATTACCTCATGAATGGGAGATTTATCAAAATATTTATTCCAAAATTTATGAAACTTAACTGGACATGTTTTCATATTTGAACAGTAAGTAAAATGAACAAATAATGTCTTGGTATAAAGAATTGATCTTTTTTCTTTATAAGGAGTATCCAAGACTCTTTGTCGTAATGTATCATAATTATGAACATTTAAAGTTTTATCAATATTAAATTTTTGTAGAACACAATTGGATTGTTGATCGATGAAATTAACTGGATATTTACTTAGTAATAGATCGAATCTTGAGGGTGTGGGTGAGGGTGTGTGCCCAGTGGAAAATGTAAATTATAATCTGATTATTCTGCAACACAATCAAGGTTATAATTGATTATAATTTCGACTTTTGCAAAAAAATTCATTTTAATCCGGTTAAAATCAAGATTATAATCAAATTAAAACGAATTTTCTGCTAAAAAGCAAAATTATAATCCATTATAATCTTGATTGTGTTGCAGAATAATCAGATTATAATTACTATTCTCCACTGGGGTGGAGCTACCATAATGTTAACATTTCATCTCAACAAAAAGAATCATCAGATGAGGGCATTCGAACGTGAATAAACGTTTTCCTCAGGTATGGAGTCGATATAATATAGATGGGGTAAAGACATATTTGATGCTGATATTTTCGAATGGTTAATTTTAGACAATTCCTCTTCGGAAGTGTTGATGTTAACGAGCGTTTTGCGGATTATTATTTGGTTTATGTTATTTAAAATTATAGAATGTTGATTCTCATAATATTCGAAAAGTCATTAGTGACATCATGTTAGTAGTTCTATCATTTTACGGGGAATTACTATGCAAGGTAAGTCTGAAAATAACACAAAAATCATACAAATTTTTTTGCAAATATGGTCAGTTTGTAGATGACGTAGTAGTTGCAATAGATGGTGACGTTGATGTTGTGGTTCACTTTGTTATTTGATTCGTTGTTGTCATGTGAACTTTTATATACAAAGGAACAATGTAGCCAAAGAGACCAAAATACATGTGTGCAAGAGAGAATGAAAAGATTGATATAATTATATGAAGTGTTTATTGTTACCTTGATGTTTTAATGTCAATAATTTCATATGCGGTCTTTTGCGTATCAGTTCACGTTGTGTGCTTGGATTGTTTCGATGGCCAACAATAAGTTGAATATTTTCAATTCGAAGGTCTTTAAAAGCTTCACGAAATATTTCATGCATATCTCTTTTCATTGTTATAAATCGATTTTCATGAGTATAGTGTATAATTATTTCATCTTGAAATTGATTTTTTTTTGGTTTTCTGAAAGATAGCTGGTGCTAATGAATCTTTCGATAGTTCGTTTTCTTCTTCTTCTTTTTGTTGATCATTTTCATTTATGATATTGATTGAGCAATTTGTGCTTCGATTTGAGATTGTCTTGGTGTTGGCTGAGTGACTCTCGTCGTCAATTTTTGCTAAAAGTGACGTGCTTGAAATATAATTGTCGAACAGTTTTCGAAATTGTTTATCATTATATGTACATGGATCACTAAAGTCGAAAATAGAAACAGTTGTAGAAATTAAATGCAAGATAAAAGGAAACACTAACCCATTATATAATAACATTAATTCGATAGCAATCTGTTCTTTAATGAATGTGTCAAAGGTTGATGAATAACGTATAGCTCGAACTGGAGCTGTTTGAATAATATTTGGAAATACATGGCGAGGATGATTGGAAAGGAACGGCACTACAAAAGGTTCAGCTGAAGGTTTATGATATACTGCTGTATGTAGAACACCTTTCTGGTTGGTAAGAAGAACGTCAAGAAATGGAAGACTACTACCAATATGATATTTTAGTTTGATATTTCGAAGCCATGCATGCACATCTTGTAGTAATTTTTCAACTGTTTCTATTGATTCATTTGAAGTAAAGAAGCCATCATCAATATATCTATTTTGATCGAACAAAAAAAACAGGAAAAGGAATTTAATTCTTTTTATGTAGCTATAAATAAGAAAGACGCCTTATCTGACAAAACTTTCTTTACGATTTTCTTGATATCGAATCCATCGTTGTTCCCAATGAAACATAAAAATATTAGCCAAAGCTAAAGTAGATGGTCAATCCATAGTACCACCGATAACTTGTTTATAGAATTTTTTGTTGGAAACAAATGCATTTTGTTTCAAGACAGCTCCAGCCAATGTTTGAATAGTTGATTTAAGAGTAAGTGTCTGAGAAACTCAGGAGGTCTTGGTAGTTCGACATCTCATATTTTCCTGACTTTTTTATATGTTGTTGGTAGTAGTGAAGTATGTACCAAGTAAAATTTTCAACTCTATCGGATCACTCCTTCCTACCGAAAAAGTCGAAACATGAGCCCAATTTTTTATATTGACCAAAATCGATTTTTTTCATTTTTCTCGCAATTTTTATGCGATATCCAAGAACAAAAGTATCTTACAGGTGTGAATTCATGCAGAAGCTTTGGTCGATCTAGAAAAACACTTAAAATATCGATGAAAACAATGACCTTAGTTGTTTTCCCTTGTTTGCTGCTCAAAATGTCAATCATTCGTATTTTATGCGCCAACAAGCAATCGCTCTAATATTTTTACTGATGATAGAGGACACCAAGGCCTATCACGTAGGATAGCTAAATTATTTTGCTCATCGAAAAAATGAAGCACTTTTCGCAAAACTTATGTATACCCCATATTCACCGTATAGATCGATTTCTATGATTTTTGTTGTACCAAATCAAAAGAATATTTTTAATTAGACACTAAACTTAATTGAAATACAATCTTCTTAGTTCTTTGTACTAATTTCAATCGTTCTTTATCGAAAATAACGTACGAATAAGCAATTTTGATCTTACCAACTGTTCATTATAGAATTTCATTTTTTTATTGCTTGAAGGTATGTGAAACGTCTGATGCTTCACTCTAGAATAGATGTCTATAAATTAAGTACATATTATCAGCATAAACTTAATCTGCTCAATCAAAATGTACATGATATTGCGATACAATTTTAAAATGAACTGTTTTATTTTGGTCGATATCTTTTATAAGATTGTTGTTTTGAGAGTTTTCTATCACTCTGTGATTGTTATGATGACATATATGTATCTGTATACTCACTTCACAACGCTGTTCGTTTTTATATTATACCTTGATCGGTATAGGTATATTCTTTGCTATTTAGCTGTGTTCTCCTCCTTCTTTGTGTTTCTGTATATATGATATATGTCATCATTAGTATTCGCTAAGGAATACTTTCTCTTCATGATATATATAAATCAATTGTTTTTAGTAATAAAATAATATGTTTTTGTCTCTCACTACGTGTATCAATAAGATAAAATACTTGTCTTTATCTGCAAATAATTCACAATCAACAATCTTCGAAACGTTTTCAGTTAAGTGGTACATCGATCAGCCACTGATTTTGAAAATACAGAAACAACTGACGGAGTTCCTGCTTCAGCCTTGCATCTAATGATGCTCGTAAATGGTAAAGCTGATCTTCAACTTCTTGAAGCGGTAGGAGGGACAGTGCCATAAGTTTACGACAATGTGTTCTGATTTCGTCATCCTCAGCTTAAGCTGTGCTGAGACCTAAGCTTTGGAATACGTCGATAAATGCAGCTGTTGAAGTGAAAATAACAACCTTGATGGACAGCTTGAGGAGACTAAAAAAAGGACAAAGCAACCTTGCAACATGTGAATAATATGATTTACTTCAACGGCTATCGCTGCTATCAAACCACTTTCAAGATCAGTAATGATTCTTTCAGGTTGAAATAATCTGTTTGTCTGCGTAGCAATATTTTTCAATTCTTTGAAAAGTTGTTGATAAGTTGACTTTTTTCGATCTGGTAAAAGGCCGTACACACAAGAAAAATCTACAATCGAAATTAACAAAACACTTTCTTCAAAAACCTGGAATATTTAGCATACGGTGTTCAAACTTGAAACCATGTGTTGTGAAAACCTGATCGAACATGGGTGGCGTTGCCAGAAACGTGCCATCCATAAAAACAACTGAACTATCAAATAAGACTTCAAGTTGCTTTGGGCTTCCAAATAATACCATTCTCTTTTTACGGCCCACCAAGACGTCGCAAAATAAAAACTTTTCTCCATTGTTGGTGAATTGATACGATTCGGGAACACCGAATGAAGAGCATGTTGGAAGGAGTGGTGTACGTTTCCGCCGTGCTCGATTCAATGCAGAATCTAGACAACATCATAATAAGACGTATTCAGAACGAATAACAACACGGTCTTACTTATGTTGAAAAATCGTGGCACATCTACAAGAGTTTCTAGCGAGAAATGTGCCTTAATCATCTCTTCATCATATACCTTCGAAATCGGTGTTGTTTCATTGATAACACGTTCTTTGAGAGCGTCTCGGAACTGTTTTATCTTAATTTCTTCAGGTGCAACGAGATGGTTATGCGTGCCATTCGATTGTAAGAAGTTGCACTGAGGTCAGTATGAATACCAGCGTTGCAATTGTTGGATTTACAGATCCAATAAATCTTCGACGGTATTTGTTTGTTGAATTTGTAAATAAAGCTTTCTTTGACTAGCATGCGTTGGCCCTTATTTGAAGTAATAAAGGACAAGATACTTGTAGCATCACACATTGTATAATAAAGACGAAATGAACATGGTGAAAGAACCGTGCATGCAAACATTAACGATAAACTGCGGTATATATACCCGAGCGCGAAATAATGTGTTGATTGTGCTCTTTGTTTTCATACATCTTTTGTACTTCTGTTATTCGAGAATATTCGTCTATTTTACGACGAATTAGAAACAAGTGCAGTACAAGTCATGAACCCTGGATTACGAATGCGAACGAAAAGAAAGGCGATTTTCTTTATTTACAAGACCTAGAAATTTTCGACGTTTTATATCTTCGACTTTTTTCAAGTAAGATGCCCATTTTTCGGTATTTCGTTTTTCGACCATTTGCTCCTCGACGTTTGGGCAGTGAATCGGGAATGTGTGCTCACCATAGATGAAAATTTTCCACGCACTTGATTGGCCATAATATTAATTAATTCATTTTGTATATCATGAATCAAGTAACTGGCATTACCTGCAGAACCTTCTACAATCGACTTAACTACAAGATCAGTAGTTGCTGACCAATAAAGAATCTTCAGGAAATTACCTTGGTTGGAACTTCTGTAAGAAGCAGAAAACGAATAAAAAATATTTGTCAA